ACATTGTGATATACCAGGAGTTGGTACTATCTAAAACCCGTGATCATCACACCAACCATTTTATTGTATTACTGTGAAATACAATTAATCACTGTGATAATGACCGATTGATCTAGCTGGGAGAGGAGGAATAAGAATTCTTATAAATCATGGAGCAAACCGCGATCAGATGTCTCCGTCCTGGTTCAATGACTCCTTTTCTCTGTGGAGAGAAGTCAAACCCTGGGAATTCCGTTTCAGGCCTACAAAGCAAATGGAGCCACTTTAAATCCAGGAGGCTATGGCAGAGTGACCTCTTGCGGCTGGTTTGGAACAGGACAGGGTCTATGGTCAATTTTTACAACAACAAGATTACATCTGTATAGCGCTTTCACATCTGGAGGACGTCCCAAAGTGCTGGGATGTTTTGTTCCCAATGAAGAGGTACATTTCATTAAATTTAAAGTATAAGTATTCGTGAGTTCAAGAACTTCTGAATCAGTCTGAAACAACGTGAAGAGGTATCATTCCTTTCATTCACTTTTTCAGTTATTATCTTGTAATCTGGAGGCCTGTAGCTCAGTGGTTAAAGCACTCGCCTCGCAAGGAAAAGGGCCCCGGTTCAATTCCCAACCGGGCGAAACCGTAAGCGCTTGTTGACTATTTTTTGCATTCTGGAGTTCTGTAGCTCAGTGTGCGAAAGACCTGGGTTTGATTTTCAACAGGCCAAAATATTGGGCAAGTTTCCTTACACCTAGCAGTAATTAGGAACCCAGTTGTTAGTCGATTGGCGGATTGCTTTTCTAGAGGTAATAATCCCTCAAAAAAGGGTCACTCGATCCACGGCTATTTGGGGGATGCTGTTGTGCACAATTGGCTGCCTCGTCGATTCACTTTACAGTATATTCTGTGAAGGGCTTTGATATGTCTCGAAGATGTGATAAGATGTTATATAAAATGCAAGGATATTATATTATTATTATATTCTCATGACTACATAGTTGCTGACCATACTAAGACAATTGCTTCAGTATTTGGTAATGGTAGCGTGAGACTAACATCTCTAGTAAGATAGTTAAAAGTCTAGTACTTCTCATGAGGGCAATTGGTATAAATTTAGTGAATCCATAGTTTCACTTCATAAATAATGGTGGAACCAATTTCTTCCCAATGACTTCAACCTTGGATGTTTTTGCTTGTTGTCTAGTGAAAATAAATACTTGTTCAAAATATGTCATTAGATATCATGGTATTTTGAACAAGGCAGCACAACAGCTGAAATGTTAGCTACAGGAATAATATGCAGGCTGCAGTGTTACATGCAAAATAGACACCACACAAGTTGGAGTATATTACAGCATACTAACTTAAACAGGACAGAATAAAAACAATAAATAATCCTTGCTATTTGATATTGCATGTCATGTCAAACATCTCAGGAATTACTTCAGAGGTGTAATCACTGTATGTTTTGCAGGCAAATACAGCAGTCAATTTGCGGACAGCAAAGTCCCATAAATTACCATGAAATTAATGCTCAATTTTAACTGGGGGATAATTAGCTAGGACGCTAGGAGAAACTCCCTTCCTCTTTTCAAATAGTGCCATACCATAAAATTCACCTGAGCAAGCAGACAGGATATTGTTTTAACATCTCATTCGAAGAATGGTACTTCAACAATGCAGCACTTTCCCCAGCAGTGTATTGAAGTGTCATCTTAAATTTTGAGTTCAAAGGCCTGACTTGGGGCTTGAAGTCACAACCTTCTGACTCAAGACGTGAGAGTGCTACCAACTGAGCCAGACTGACATCTGTTGGGAATGTGTTAAATAAAGAACAAGCTGGAATGTAATTACATTATATTTTGTAAGACAGAATGCTATAATTTATGATAAAAACGTGGGACCAGATTTATTCTGTTTTTGGAAGTTTTTATCATGATGTTGCGAAACATACGATTTCTGTGTTAGAATAACAGGGCTTAACTGGAAGCGTTGGGTTTGATTTCACTATGACGAATATACCTGCATGTTATACACCATAAAAAACACTGAAAGGAGAAGACTGAAGATATGTTTTGGATCCAGGTCTCGGAGGCTTAAAGACTGTGTCCTTCCAAACTATGACACTCCATTCCTATATTTTTGTAATAGTTTATTCTGGACTTGAAACAGGATATAATTATTTTTGGGGCTGTGGTTCAAACTTGTGGAGATCTATCAAAGAATTTAATAAGGATTATATTCTCATTTTGTGGTATATACTGTAATATAAAATGCCTCTAGAATATAACACAGAATGTTCAGTTTTATGGCTTTAAATAAGAGGAATGTTATATTAGACAAAATGCATCATTTAAATACTTTTGCATGTTAGGCTTTGTAATGTTAAACTGTTCAGTTGTAATGTTGGCTGTGGTTGTCGTGTTGCCAGTAACCATGTGGAGGCTGGACTCACTCAAGTGTGCTGGTTGAGTATACTGATAGAAATCTACACAAAGAAGGCAGGAAAAAAGTTTCTGTTTTGAGACCCAATTTCACCATTTTGGGATGATTTTTTTAGCCCACTATACAAGTCATATTTTCTGAACTGGATAATTTCAAACATTTGTGACACTAAATATGAAGTCAGATTTTTGCTTCAGTTATCTTAATCTTACATCTTATGTTCTTCAGCTCCACCATTGTCTCTCACCGCAGGCCGCCAAGACATCCACCCGTTCATCACATCCACGCTCGACTATGCAAACTCCCTGCTTGTTGACCTCCCCAACTCCTCCCTCCACAGGCTGCAGATCATCCAGAACTCTTCAGCCCGTGTCCTCTCCCGCACCAGGCTTCGTGACCCTATCACTCCCATCCTCATCCAACTCCACTGGCTCCCCATCAATCAGAGGATACAGTTCAAGTCTTTGCCACCATGTCCTTGCTCCTTCCTACTTCTGCGACTTGCTGACCTCATATCAATTTGTCCGTTCCCACTGCTCAGCAGGCTGTGGCCTGCTCCACTTCCCCTGCCAGGCCCACCCCACCATTGTCGGTCAGGCTTTCAGCCTTTCTGTCCCAACCTTTGGAACTCCATCCCACATTCCCTTTGCCTTGTTCCCTCCCTTGCCTCCTTCAAGGCGCGTCTCAAGACCCTCCTGTTCAACCGTGCCTTCAGTCACCTTCTTACCCCTACCCTCCCTGTCCTCCACCCCTCTTGATCCCAATCACCAGCTTGGGTGTGGGTCCCTATGTTAGCATAAGGGTGCAGAATTAACATACTAACAATGGGTGAGTGGTCATGGAACATATGGATTCAGTACAAAGAAAGAGTTGAAGGAAACATATGATTGGATATGTTAATAATGGATTGTAAATGACTGACAAGAGATTGGTGGAAGGTATAGAGGGAGTGGAATGAGAGTATAAAGATAGGGAGAACAAAGAAGGAGAAGGAAAAGATCGGAAGAGCACGAGGGAAGACTTGATGGAAGATCGAAAGCTTGAATAACCAGACAAGACAGATTTGAACCTCGGCTGCTGAACGTCTCGACCCGCGGTAGCATTGCTTTGTTGTAATCCCTCTATGGTGTAACTTTATGGAACTAGTAAAGTTTGGCTTAACAGATTTTGTCTAAACGGAATGCTGGGTGACCTTTCTTGATATCTAACACCTAGCTGTCCAGAGCCTTGGATGTGAAAGGTGCTATACAAATGTAATTTGTTGTTCAGTTCTCTTGTGCGAGAAATGCGTAAATTATCTTTCTTCGATCCAGAAATGTGCCTGCCTTGTATGTAAGTTCTTAGTGGAGCATTGCAGTTGTGTTTTATGATCTATTTGAGATGTCCTCCCAACATGAAATAATAATAATAATCCTTGCATTTGATATAGCGCTTTTCACGTCGGGAGGACGTCCCAAAGCGCTTCACAGAACACACTGTAAAGTGAATTGACTGTATATTTGTGGGCGAATGCGGCAGCCAATTGCGCACAGCAATGTCCCACAAACAGTCGTAGATTGAAAAATGACCAATTTAATTATTGTTTTTGGTTTTTTGGAGGCATTATTATTTGTAAAGGTGCTTTACAAATGTGATTTTCTTGTTATTTGTGCTGCCACCATGTACTATGTGATGATGTCAACCAGATGCAGTATATTATTACAGTAATGTAAATTATTACAGTAAGTTTGACAAATCCACCATAGAGGGAGCACTTCCAAGTACACCACACAATAAACGTAATGATTGTATTGCAGTGCCAGCTCCAGTGTCACTCAGTAAGACCGCGGATTACACTATTATCTCAATAAGTGAGGTCTAATAAAGACTAATTTCTAATAAAGGCACATTGTTTGTGTACTATTCATTGTTTAAAAATATCAGACTGGCTTCATTTAATCTGAGATGTAGTTAGTGAAATGTGTCAGATGGTAACAGCAATTTTAGTTTTATTCATTTACATACTAAAGGCAGACAGATAAGAGACCTTGATAGGGAAACTAACTCTACATTTATTATGCAAGAGAGGAGAGTTAAAAATACAAAAATTGTCAAGAGTCACAGATTTTTAAAAACAAATCTTGTGAGATCTAACTCAATATGCAGACGAAGGAAAAGCAAAGTCAAACTTTAAAACAGACGCCTAAATGACTCTGAGTTGTGGTAGAATGCGCTGAGTCCAGGATCCGTTCTTGCACAAGGTCTGCATTCATTTCAGTTCAGGACATTTGTGGGTGGTTACTTTGACACAATTAAAGTAATTTCGCCTCCACTGCCTAACAAAAGGACAAACTTTTTTAAAAGAAAATACAAATCGAAGCCACTAGAATGCAATCGACACTCTTCAGTTTTATGGTGTTCCAGACATTAAGAGTTGCACATGTGCATTACTTTCAAGGTTCTCTCACATACTGTACTCCATCCACTTTGAACAGAATGCTTCAAAGATAAATCTTGAGACCTTAGCAACATCTGCTTTTGCCTTTGTGCTGTACTGTGTCTTGAAAGATTAGTGAGAAAAACCATGAAAAGTCTTCAACATGAATCTGATTTATTGAGGCAAACAAGATAAACATGTATAAAGTTTTGAATGCAGCCTTGGTTACGCAGAGAAAACAGCAGAACAAGCTTCTTCAAGTATTTGTATTATTAGTTAAGATTCAGTATGTTAAGTGCAGCATTCATAACATTCACTTAACTTGTAATTCATTTCACTAAAACACGTTGAGATATTCCTTTTGGGTGAAAGGCATGACACAAATGTAGGTTTTCATGAATGCAGCATCAGAGAGAAACTTTTCCATACAGTACAATGTTCTTCCTTACAAATGACACACTGAACCTTTCAATCGGAATAAATACACAGGTACTAATAAAACAATGAAAACCTCTCTTACATCAGAGCTTTCAATTAGTTCAAAGGGAAAGTTCCAATTAAAAATGCAATAAAATTATTTCTGCATGACATTCCAATGGCCCAGACTTACTGAAAAAGGGCAAAATCACACAGAGGGCAACAGACATGGGGACACAATGAGAGCAGTTTTGGACAGCAATACTTCTTCAAACATTTTCTTGAATTAGTAATTTCTTCATAAATTGAAAAAAACACAAAGCTAGGCTTAATTTAATGAATTAAAATAGACATCCTTTCAGCGATAACTTCACTTCAGCACCTAGTCACTAAAATTCATATTGAAAACATACAATAAAAAATCCTGATGTTAGGTCAGGCATTTGTGGTAGTGTAATACATGAGTGAAAGGAAACACCTCACACCTGAAATAATGTAAAATCAAACAGTGGTGCAATCATTTGTATGAAATGTACCAAACAGGTGATCTCACCTAGGCTGCCATTCAAAGGCTGTCAAACCAAAGTTATGCAACAATTTGAAATTGTTCAGCCTCGTCACAGGTCTGCATTGCTTCTTTAAAGATTCCATAGCAACCTAACTGTTGAGTTTTGGAAACAGAAGGTAAAGAAAATTGAACATTTCTCACAATAAATTCAGTTAATCACTGAACCCATAATGACCATCGCCTGGAAATATCAGTGAGATATCACTAGTCAGCTAGGTATAATCTCTGCTAAATAGACACTGCAATGGACTTGCCACAATTTACTGCAGGTCGTTACTGGCCACTACGTCTAGATATTTTACCCTCAATCTCTTAGGCCTTCTGCATGAATTTAGAGAGAAATGAAAGACAAAACACACTAGAGATTCAGAAATGTGGGCTGATTATCCTATAAAAGTGTTTTGCTGAAAAGTTTGCAGAACCAAACATGAACGCAGGCCAATTGGCCTCCACGCCGAGTCAGTAACATTCATCACCAGGAAACCTCCCTGCCAATAGTGTTAGATGACATCTTCAAAAAGCTCACAAACAACCTCTTCATCTTCCTGTAGAGCTGGGGTGACATCCTTCGGTTTCAGCCTGCGTGGGCAAGTAAAAGGGTAACCAAAGTCACATTGAAGTTTGAAATAATTACGTTCAATGACACTGAACAATAAAGCTTCTGTAAAGAGCTTTGAGATGTCCTCCCAACGTGACTATATCAAATGTAAGCATTATTATTAACAATCCTCCAAAATAATTGGTTATTCACTTCATGACTGTTTGAAGAATTTGAGACTTCTCAAATGGCTGACCCATTTACCTACTAAACGTCTCTACACTTGACAGTAATTACCTGTGATGCTCTTTGAAATGTACTGATGTGACAAGGTTCTATAAAATTGCATCTTTTTTGTTTTAATTCTTAAGAGAAAATACTTATCCAAGTAATTCCGCCAGGGAGTTTCCCTCGGTGTGCTGGCCAACAATCCCCCAGATAAAATTGACCACTCACTTCGTTACTGCTTGCCATGAAATGTTTCAGTCATTTCTATGCGTAAATTGACTGCTTCTATCGCCTACAAAATAAAGTCACTCCACTTCACAGTAAATACTGCACAGTAAATACTGCGAAGTGCTATGAGACATCCTCTTGATGTGATAAGGCACTATACCAAATGGAAGGATCATTATTAATATGTAAGGAACTGAAGGTTGAATTGCAGAGGCCTCATTACAAATTTACTTACTCTACCCACATATACACATTATATACACAATAATCTGTGACAATTTTGTTTCATTTTACTGCTGTGTCAAAAAATAAGAACATATTTGCTAATTTCCAAAGTATTAACATCAGGAATGTTTAACGTCATAAATTAGAAAATTTCTGTCATTCTGCTGGAGAAAACTTCTAAGCACATTATCCTTTTGAGAAATTCAACTCTTCCAAGATCCTTACCAGGACAAGAGACAAAAACTGAGAAGCAAGGAATTTTACAAGTGGAACTTCAACTTCAGAATGAGGAAGATTCCCATAATATGTAATCTAAATTATTTTCTCGTTTGTTTAACCTTCATATTGGTGAATACTAACGTAGTCTAAATAGTGGGGAAGGGGACATGGAGAGCCTACATTGTTAGGCCAGCTTAAACAACAACAACAAGATTCCATTTATAGAGCGCCCTTCACGTCGGGAGGACGTCCCAAGGCGCTGTACAGTTGGGTCAGGACCCGAGCAGGGGGAAATGGTCAGGGTGAGGGGAGGGAGCGAGGAGGGGGTAGAGTCGAGAGGGGAGCTGAAGGCACGTTCAAAGAGACCGTTAAAGATGAGCAGCTCCGTAGTGTTCACCTCCCGGAAATGTGGAGTCAACTTTAAAAGTGTCAGAATACTCCACTACCTATTTTACAAATAGCCTTGATATGAAACTATATCATCCACATGGGACATTTTAGGGATAGATATGTAGGAGATTTAAGTGTATGAAGATTAAGTGCACAGGCCTCAAACACTATCACTGAGACCGGATGCAAGTGTATCTGCTGTTACACTCGATAAAGCTTGACAAAAAGCCAATCTCATGGTGCAGAACACAAAGAGTTTAAAAGAATGATAGATCATATAAGAAATTTAACATTGATAGCACGGATGGAACAGATTTAGTGGTGATACCTACAGGGAAGATGGAAATTTAAAAGGTAAGACTGAAGAAACAAAGGTATTGGAAGTACACACGTGTATTTGAATCCTGTATTGTATCTGAATCGTGAACCACAAAAGCTGAAGGCTATTTCTGAAAGTCATCATGTATTCACGCTGTATCTGATACAATTCAGACCGATCACAAATTCTGATCTACTTGCGCTTGTTTTGAAAAAATGTCTTCTCTGCCACTGTTCCTGATTAGGTCTAGTTTAAGACATGTAACTTCTGATAAGCAAGAAAGACTACACCTCCTTAAAAAGGCCTGTTTGGATCTTTGCTTCCCCAATGACTCTATTGAGAAGCTCAATACACAAAGTGAAAGATCACTACCAGACAGAAACTGAACCATAATAGAAAGCTTCCAGGTTCAATCCTGAGTTAGCCAATCTCAACAAGGACAGCAGAAGCTGCTTCAACTGACCTCAGCACTCGAGAGAGAGAGAGGGAGAGAAGAGAAACCAGGAAGAGTTTTGACACCCGATTGTAAACAATGACCTCTGCAGGAAAGTGAGTGTTGAGTGAGAGAAAAATTGGAATTTCCCTGATTTTCATGTTCAAACAACCCGTCAACAATCAGTGTTTTTGCTCATAAATGAAGAATGCTAATCTAGACACGCTACCAGAGGCCTGTGGAACATACGTGTTCTGAAAACCGAGTAAAAAAATGAGGAAAAAGTTCTCGAAAGAAACAGATGGTTATAGAAATACAATTGTTAATGCTTGGCTGTCAAAATCAATCCAAAACATAAAACCTGCCCTAATCCTTCTCCATCATATTACATTGGTAGTTCCAAGGCACCAATGTCCTAACGTGTAACCGTGTCTCTTGTGTGGCGAAAAGTCTAACTGGATGCGTATGAATGGTGTTAAGCAAAGGGACTTAACGTTCATAACATCAGGGAGCAGAATTAATAGATCCAGCCTGCAAAATCTTCAACTGTGATCTTAGTATAGATGTGCACTCAACCAATGTAGGATCTTTTTTTCTGTTTCTCAGTTAACCAGCGAATTCATCTCCAAATGCAAATATTATAATTTGTCTCATCAATTTAAACGCATACACTCAACATATAATAACAACCCCTGCACCTAACTCACACTAATACAACAAATACTTCCATAAGCCTTGACCTTGGGTCAATACAAAATAATAAATTTAAAGTTTGCCAAATGTAGGCTGCCAGAACAGGATAGTATTTGTAGCTCTCTGCAAAAGAACAAGCAATTTTACTTACTGGTCCTGGTGTTTGGCTCCCTGGATGTGTGCCTGATACTGTTCTATTGAGTTGAGTACAATGTTACAGGTGTTACAAGGGTAGTCGTTACCAGCTGCAGCTGTGAAAGATGATAGTTTGGTTACCTGTCATGATAAACAACTGCCAAATGATGCATTTATCTGCCTACTCTATTTGTCAAATACATCTTCAATACTACCCATGGATTCTTTCTTCATATGGACCATTTGCTAAGCCAGTTTCCTTTCCACAACTCTTTTATTTGCTTATTTTCTACAAGTAAAGATCTACATCCTCACCTTTAAGGCCATCCATGGCCTTACCCCTCCTACCTCTCTGACCTGCTGACTCCCTAACAAACCTGCCCGCTCCCTCCGCTCATCAGGCTCCGGCCTGCTCCATATCTCCCACTTGACCCGCCCTACTATCAGAAGCCGGGCTTTCAGCCTCTCTGTCCCCACACTCTGGAATTCCATCCCACAGTCCCTTCGCCTCGCTTCCTAACTTGCATCCTTCAAGGCCGGTCTAAAGACCCTTCTCTTCGACTGTGCCTTTGGTCTCCCTCCCACCTCTCTGCCTTCCCTCACCCCTACACCACCCCTCCCCATGCTCGGGCCCCGACACCTGACTGTTCAGCGCTTTGGGACGTCCTCCCGACGTGAAAGACGCTTTATAAATGTAATTTTGTTGTTGTAAACTACTCTTAAAGAATTGAACAAAGTTATCCATACCAAAGTACCTCAGTTGTTAGAATGGCGCACAGCACCACAGGGGAAGATGGCATGTTTTCCTTCTGACTCACTGTGGAGGAGTTCCACAGGTGGAAGTCATACAGTAATTTGTCCAAAGTCACTTCCATCGAGTACAGCATTATAAAACATCAAATCCAAATTAGATTCTGTCTAAAACCTGCACATTTTTCAACAGGAACCAATGAAACAGAAAGGAGTAGGTTTCAGGTCCTGCAGAGAGTATATGGAATTAGGAAAAAGATTGAAGTGCAGGACCGCAAGGGTTGTATTCTCAGGATTAATTCCCATCCCAATGCTATCATGATAATATGCAGATATGGCAAGTAAATGTGTGGCTGGAGAGATAGTGTAGAATAATTCAGGTTCTTGTATAGAATGGATGGACTGCACCTAAGCAGGGACCAATCTCCCAGTTGGAAGAATAAGTAGTGCTTTGAGGGAGTATTTAAACTAATATGGCCGGAGGGGCAAGATAAGAAAATGATGAAAGCATCATGGAAAACGAACGATGCAAGGGAGAAAGAGGGGCATAGATCAAGAGGGGACTGGAATGTAAAAGAACCCCAAGATCAGAGAGAGGAAAAGCCAGATAACAGTGTATGTGGCAAGTAAAGTAATAAAGGGGAAAACAATGGAGAGAATAGAAAAAGCAAATAGTGAGAATAAAGTACAGCAGGACAAATTAAAGTGTTTATAAACTAATGCAGTGTTAAAAATAAAATGGCTGAATTTGAAACTCTTGTTGGGATAGCGGGGTACGATGTTAATCACACTGGTGGAAACATGTCTTCAGGGTAGGCAAGACTGGATACTAAACATTCCTGGGTATTACCATATTCAGAAGGAATGGAGACGTTGAGGCCAAGTGGAGGGGAGTCAGTGATTAGGGACATAGTTATGGTAGCCACAAGAACAACAAAACTAATACCAAGAAGATTTTTTTTCCAGCCAGTTATTGGGCTGTGGAATGCCCTGCCGAAGCTGTTGGTGGGAGGCAGAATCCATTGTGGCTTTCAAGAGGGAAGTAAGAGAGGCATATGATAAAGAGAGGTTTGAAGGTATAGGCAAAGTATGGAATGGCAGAATTGAACTGATCTCCTTGCTCTGTGAGCCAGTGTGAGCTGAATGGCCTCTTTCTGTGCTGTAGTTCTGCTCTGTAGATTTCTACGTAACTAATAAATAGCAATCAGAAATAAGAAACCTGGTCATCATATCCTCACCTTAAGAGACAGAGACCAATTGTAGCTGATCTCAGGTCTACCTGATTAGCTAACTCAACATAGAACTGCTCAAAACTGGAACACCTTCTGCATAAATATGGCTGTTTTCATACTGCGCAACCACAACAAATTACATTTGTATAGCGCCTCTCACGCCAGAAGGACATCCCAAAGTGCTGGAGCTGCACAGTAGCTTTTAGTCATCCAAGTCATTTAATATTAGTGGACCAGTTTATATTCCTACGTTGGCAAAGAAACTTACTGGCGCTAACCTGCATTCATAAAACTTGAAGTTACATGTCCCACAATCATGTTTATAGTCAGTTGAAAAATTCTAGAAATGGTCAGGACAGTTTTGCGGTACCGTTTTTTTAAAAAAATCGATAGTTTAGATACTCTTAAGTATTTCTCTACTGAGTAATATTTATGTTAAGAAGTTGTAAATAACTTGCAGAATGTCCACTGCATCTCCAATCCCAACACCTAGTCATTTATGTATCTCAGTATTAAAAACTAGTGTTAACTCTTGCAATGAAGACCCAGGAGTATCCTCAATACAGGAACAGGGTTAACAAGGCTTCCCAAACAGTCTGTTCCTTTCCCTGACAATGAACTGATTTCACACGAGCACTTTTTTCTCATTGTAGGCTAATTTCAAATCATAGGAATGAATGATGAAAGGGGAATCGATAGCAATCTGGCGAAGGAGCAGTCAAAGAGCTATGTATACAGTGGACAAATCAGATATTCTGTTCTTCAATAGATCAAATACCAGTTTGAATTCTGCTTCCTGGTACTTCAGGTTTACATAAACGTGCGTCTGTAACAAAAGGTCCTATTTATTCAGTCAAACAAGACAATTATTTGAGCATGTGAAACTTAACTCTTGCCTGCATGTGCTTGCCGAGAAAAGATTGAGTTCTGAGATGTTTTGGACAACCTAGAAAGAATGAAGATCTACTTATGATCTGCAATATGACTCTTGGGCATATTCTCAAATAACAATATACCTACATTTAATAACAAATCGATTAGTGAGCCTCTGCTTCCTCTACATATAGGTACTGTTTCAAATTTGGGACTGTGTCAGCAAGAATTACACTTCAACATAACAAGTGTCAAACATTGGTATCCACACTAAAATAGAAACCGGCATGAAGGCTTGAGACTAAGGAGTTAATACCTTGAAGTTTCTTCCCTTACAAACATTGCAATGTGTAACATCTACTGAGCAGATTTTAATGAGTTTTTTGCTCCACTGAAAACTTTTTAGATATTAAGATACCTAACTTACAAAACTTGGTGGCTTGACTGAATCAATTTTTGACCACAGATGCATATATGTGTATCTTATACTGACTACAAAATTGAATTTAATGCTGACTATGTACTAGAATTGAAGAAATGTGGACCAAAAGCAGAATTTTCTCTATGTAAAATTAGTCTTTTATTAGCACACTTGTGGGTAAAATTTGCCAATCAGAAACAAGTGTACAAGTTACATTCTAGTGAATTACGTTTTAAGCTTTGCATGTTGATTTATACAATTGCAACATTTATTCCCACTTCTATTTACTGGTGTATTTTTCAATGCCTCAACTGAATGCAGTGCTATGTACTTACAATTATTGGAAGCTTGTCCCAACTGCTCCATCAGTTTCATTTTTGTCTCTCGCTTCTTGTGCTTTTTGCCCACATAGTGTTGTTGGGCAATTGCAGGATGGTTGAAAAAGGCTTGACATAGGCTACAGTGCTTGTCAGGGTCGTCGTTCGCAGAGTCAGCATTGGATTGCTGAGCAGCAGCCGCCTTAGGGACAACTGCAACTAAATATAAATTTCAAAGCTGTTAATTAACACTAAAGATTTAAAAGGTGAGCAACTTCCTATCTTTAAGTCTCTTGAATGATGAGGAAAGGAGTTGAGCCATTAGATACTTAAACTAGTTAAAGCTTTGCAATGAAACATCCATTTGTGTTTTAGTTATTGGCAAGCCATTAACCCTAAGGATAGCATGAACAAATGTGTGGAAATGTTTTGTAAAATCTTCCATTTACCCAATTTAACAACTAAACATTTTAAAAATCAAATATTCAATTTGCCCAAATTTCCTGAAGGCACTAACACTTGTTTAGAAACACAATGGTTTCTAACAATTACTAGCATCAGCCTTCAGATTTTTGGGCTAGATTTTTTTTAAGAAAAACTATTAACACTATTCATGCAAATATTCCATATTGTGCCCTGCTAACTCACGGAAGACTTGGAACATGTGACCCCATAACCTGGTTTTGATTTAACCTTGTACAAGTTATAAGCTATTAATTCTCTAATCCTCCCAAGCACAAATGAATTGAGTCCATACTGCTCCAAATCTTATGTGGACTAGTTTTGCAGTACAATACAAAATCGTTGTCCTTGTATCACTTGGTGATTCAGTGAATAATAATTACCAGAGATGTTGCTTCCACAGCATGCCCAATAACTGAAATTCTCATCTTTGTATTAAGTGAATTTTGAGGGCATTCAATCTTGTATATTTCATATATTTAAAAAAAAACAAGTGCTCCTTTTATTTCATGCCTCCATTCAATTCAGTAGTTAACCAAATGTCACTGCTGAACCACAAAGTTTACTGTTGTAAAATTGGCACTATACTTTGCTTATATCTACACCAGAATTCAGCACCCCCAGAATGTGTACAAAGAATCCCACTATCCCAACTGACCACATGCTAGACACACTGACCTGATGGTGCTGGCATAGTTTCAGCTTGCTTGAGTTTCAAAGTTTTTGCATGGTTCTTTCCCTGGTAGTGGGACTGGGCAACAACAGGTGATGTAAAGGTCATATTACAAAGAGGGCAGTATTTATTCCGATCCACTTCACCATTGCTACTGTCCTATAGGAAAAGTTTGTTTTCAAAAGTTACTATTGATGATTTCACTAACCTTGCTATTGACAAGTATTCAATCAAATGTTTCTTATTCTAACATGATCCCAATAAACTGTATGCCATCAGCACAAACTTACATTGCTATTCTTTTTTATAATTTTGGCAACTGGCTCTCCATCTTGATGAAGTTCCTCATAGCGGCGCACTTTATTGGCATGCTTCTTACTCTGTAAAATAAGGTCAGTACACCTGTTCAATTAAGCACGTGAAAAAACTTTCTCCTAATTACATCTACCCTGTGGAGTCCTGTACCTTAGTGGTTAGAGCACTCTCCTCATAAGTGAGAGGATCTGGGTTTGATTCCCAGGCAGGGCGAAACGTTGGGCAAGTTTCCTTAGCCCACACACCTCTGTTTACCAAGCAGTAAGTAGTAACCCGGTTGTTAGTCAATTGGCGGATTGTTTTTCCAGGGGTAATAAACTCTTGAAAAAATTTTTTGGTCACTCAATCCAAGACTGTTGTGGGACACTGCTGTGCGCAAGTGGCTGGTGCGTTTTGGAGCAAGGAGGAGGGATTGAGGGAAAGTGTTCGAGAGTTTCAGGGCAAAGTGGCTGAAAGCGCGGCCACCAATGGTGGATCGGAGGGCACTTAGAATGAACCACAAAATTCTTCTCCCTCCTCTATGGAAATGACGATGAAAGAGAAACGTTAAACTACTCTAACATGCTAGAGATGGTTTGAAACTAGGGTACTGTTATTTTATTACCTGATAATGAGCAAGTCTCTGAGACTCTGAGATCAGCACAGCATTACACACTTTGCAATGAGTATCTGTGAAGAGTTCACTGTTTCCCTTGATGATCTTTTGCACTGTGAAAACAAATCAAATACTACTCAAAGCCAAATAACATTTTATTTTGTTAAGACTAAAATAAATTAAAATCAAATTATTGTATTGGCCAAAAATCTTCCAGATTAATTATTTATTCAAGTTATGGCTGTTGTGAGACTGTCAACAATTTTCACTTATATACTGCCTTTCATTCAGGGAGAACATCTCAAAACGCTTTACGAAAACTGAGTTGGAAGAGAGGTAGCTGAAGGTGCTGTCAAAGAGATGGTTCTTTTGACAGGTTGTGGATGGTGGAGCTGGGGAGGCACTGGGGATGAGAGGAGCTGAATGCAGACAATCAGTTTTGTGGGCGTTGAGTTATTAAGGCTTATCCAGGATTCAAAATCTGATAGTCTGTCAGAATGTTAGTAATCCTGGAGTCAAAGTTGTAGGCAGAAAGGTAAAGTTGATATTAAAAATGTATTCTATGCCATTTGAAATATTGCATGTTTTGCTACAATTATAGACACTACACCTGACACCAATTACTGCTGAAGTATTTTGAGATATTTGGGCACTATATCAAAGCAAGGATTTTTAAAAAATTAGTCGAGTGTTTGATAACAAGTCCAACATCTAATGAAATGAACGTTGAGGTTTCTATCCAACGTTAAGTTTGAAATCACAACAACAAAATATTTTCACCAGCCAATGTTCAAACACAAAATAGTTACATGTACAAACAGTTATGTTTTCAGAATAATGAGGATATTATTTCTCACTTGAATAAAAATACAGAAAGATAAAATGACAACACTTTAAAGGAATGATGGAACTAGTGAATAATTTAGTGGATACACTTCAAATCAGCTGATAGGGATGATCTAAGAAAATTCTTTGTTTTTCTTCTAGTCAGAAGCTGCTTGTCGTACCAAAAGTTGGCACTGATTTACTGCCAAGAAGTGTTCAAAGGTGTGAAAATGTGTGCTTGATGTTTTTTTCGTTTCACAAGCTTAAGTCAAATGGAAGCAAACCATTATTTTTTCCATTATTTGGCTCCTGTTTGCTATTCATAAACAAGGTATTGCAAGTTGTGCACAAGGAATATTTAAAAAACAGAATCAGAGTGTTTAAAACTATTCTGCATTTTCCATCCAATTTGGGTAAACCTGAAAAAAAATCTAGAGGATTATTTAGAATACTGAAATGAGCAGATCCAGTTTTGCAGGTCAATGGGATTTGGGTCCATATGGTCTTTTTTTCCAGCTATTTATAGGCTTAACCCTAAGATACTACCTTATGGTGCCTACCAAGTACATTTGATTTGGAGGTGGGGAGAAAGCTCTTACCGTCCCTGAATGCAATAATTACCTCCAGGGTATAAACACCAGTCTCACTCTGATTCAGACACCTCCCATCTTGGATCTTAAGACACGCAGAGCCATCTGCTCTGCTCTTCGCAGCTCCTCGTGCGACTACTCCAGGAAAACAGAACTACAGTATATAGATCCTAAAAAGCCGCCGCTGCTGAATACTAGAAACAGCTGCTGTGCAATGGTGGGGGAAGGATTCACTCTCTTTCCCTTTTATTCCCCCAACGTGAATGAGGCCACTCCTCTCCCTCTATCCACATGACATTGGCTAAACGAAATGGGTTTATTTCTCTCTCTGCCTCCACCCAAAAAAATCACCACTGTAAAGATACAGCGAGTGAGGCTTTGTCTCTGAATCTGAAAGGCGACGGGGGCCTCAAATACATCGTTAGCAATGGCCGCGCGGCCCGGGCCCGGGGCCCTCCCTTCCCCGCCCCCCTTCAAAAAATAAGAGGTCACTGTTGTCCCGAGGAACGTCCTCCTCCGCGCTGCTCAACGGCTTTGAGCGGTCCTTTCCTTACCAGCCCCGTTGCCGGCGGAGCTGTCCCCGGCCCCGCCCGTGTTAGCGCCGGCCGGCTTGAAGCTTTCCATCAGCTGAGGAATCGGTCTCTCGGACGCCATTGTTTGATCTCCCGGAGCTTCAGCCGCTTCACCTCCTTCGCTCACCGCCGCTCCCCCACCATCAACACATCCGCCAGCTCTCGCGAGAACGTGGGCTCGCGAGATCTTAGCTGTAATGCGGAAGCTTCGCTGTCACGTGACTGCCCTCCGCTCTGGCTGCTGGGGGGGTGGGGGGGGGCTGCCGGGTGTTGCCGGTGGGGGGGCTGCCGGGGGGTGTTGCCGGGGGGGGGGCTGCCGGGGGTGTGTGGCCGGGGGGGGGGGGTGTTGGCCGGGGGGTGGCCGGGGGGGGGGGTGCCTCAGTGACCGGGAAGCGCAGGGCGAGCTACAGGGCGGTTTGGGCGGATTTCATGGCCAATTGTGTTTTTCTTTGTTGCGCTGTGGTTGAAGAGAACGGCTTTGGGCGGTGCCTAATTTTTTTTACCTAAATTTAAACCTGAAAACGTTTTTTTTCTCTCCCTTTGAAGACCCTTTCTTACAGTTTCAAAAGCACTGAGACCTAAATTGGCCGCTACACACAGGAGGCGACGCATAACACTGGGCCTCGTGATATTGACAGAGCCGCCAATTGCAGTGAAGTGTTAGGATTTAGTCTTTCGTGTGTCACACAGAGGATGATGGAAAGTCCTGGGTCTGGACCTCAGCAATCTGCCACTTACTTGGAAGATAATTTACAAGACAATTTATGTGGTTGATAGACATTGTAGATTTTTGAAAAATAAAGTAGTAGTGCCAACATATCACTACTGCAGTTGCCTAATACTTTTACATGATAATTCTAATGATATAGGTTTGAGTATATTTCCTCACCTTTGGACGTATATATTGGATATGTTTGGTGTGTTTAGGTGATGCAAATGACTCAGCTTGTTCCACCTCACTTGCTCAGGATTGACCGATCCCATTGTTAAAACACTTGACATGATTCATGTTTATGACACTATATGAATGCAACTATTGCTTCTACCCAGGATAGATACACTGTGGGACTAAGCAAAGACACTACACAATGATAGAGAATGTTATTCGTATCGCTATTTGTTCTCAAGGTCTCAAAAGATAATAAAAGTAGCTTTGAGTAACTGATGACTGCATGTACATTCACTTCATTGCATTGATTCCTGCTAAATGTCAAGTCCTCCGTGTCAGGTTTCGATGCTCTGAGAGATCTGTATCTCTCTTGTTAGTTTAGGGAGTGATACCTTACTCTAATCTTTGGGTTCATGGGGCTTAGATGTAAGGGAAAATGAAAAAATCCTATTAACAATAATACTTGACATTGTTATTATTCTTATTCTTGTGCTTTTCATGTAAGGGAGGGCATCTCAAAGTACTGCATAGGATTTACTATGAAATGCAGACACTTTTATAGGTAAATGAGGCAGGCAATTTGCGTACAGCAATGTCTCAAAAACAGCCGTAAACTGAATGACCAATTTTATCTGAGGATTATTGGCCAGGGCACCAGGAGAAATCCCTTCTCTTTTCAAAGTAGTTCCATAGAATCTTTAACATCCACTGGAATAGGCAAATGCTGGTTTAATGTCTCATCCAAAGGGAAGCACCTCCGACTGCATCAGCATGTCTAGTCAGTTCAACATCCCAATGTGGAGTTGGAACTCACAGCTTCTGACACATGTTGACCTGAGTCAGGTTGGCACTTGAATAAATTTATCATGCACCTATGATGACATCATTTCAATCTAAATGTTGAGCAATTTTACATGATAATCCCAGAGTCAGACAAAAACTAATTTGCATAGAAAATGACAATGAACACAAAGCTATCAGTCAAAAGTCAAAAACAATCAAATAATGGCACATTGTCAAACACTTTCAGAAATCATGTCTTGTATGAAATCCTGCAACCAATGCCAATTGGAACATTTGGCAGATTGTTGAGAGTCAGAAAAGAAAAGTTCCTTGAATGTGAAGGCAAGGCCAGAGATTTTCAACACAATGCTTGGGCTTCGGAGCAATCCACTGAAGGAACTGAAGCTATAAGTGATTAGTTATAATTTTAGTATAGTCAGTATATCTGCAATATTTTAATACAACATTCCCTTTCACTAAAAGAAAGCTGGAAGTGGAACCGGAGAAGAGGTGCAGACTAGCTGGCAATTTTTATTTAAGAAGGTTTTGCAAGCAATGCAGTGAATTGAGGTTTTACAGCACTATATACTTGTATGATGTGTCACTGTCCTTGTATTTGACGGTTGATTAGTACCAATTCTGAAGTCCTTCTGTCAATCAAATATGTATAATTATAATACCATCTGTTTGTGCCTATTCCAATCAGTAAATAGAATTATGTATGCATGGTTCTATAGTTTGCCTCCAATTCTTACCTCCCTTGTGATTGTCTGGAAGCTTCTATCTCCTATCATCAGAGTGAAGGTGAATCCATCCAATCATTAACGTGCTTGTTTGCATTAATACTCATTCCACTGAGTATGTTTACATCTCTTGTCTTGTAGTGGGTGTTAACTGATAGCTTTTATATTCATCCTTTAGATGTTAATGATCAGATGGTCACTGCATTGAATTAATTTCTCACAGCATATATAGGTGTCAGAGAACTGTTCTATTATTTATATAGAAAATTGTTCAGCAGACATTGTAATATGGTAACCTTCATAGATTCAGCACAAAATTCTATTCTGTTTGTAATAATAATAATAATAATAATCCTTGCATTTGATATAGCGCTTTTCACGTCGGGAGGACGTCCCAAAGCGCTTCACAGAACACACTGTAAAGTGAATTGACTGCATATTTGTGGGCGAACGCGGCAGCCAATTGCGCACAGCAATGTCCCACAAACAGTCGTAGATTGAAAATGACCAATTTATTATTGTTTTGTTTTGGAGGGGTTATTATTAGGCTCTGTGTGGAGTAAGGAAACTTGCCTAAGGTTTCGCCCTCTGCCTGGAATTGAACTCAGGTCTCTCACTTGCAAAGCGAGTGCTCTAACCACTGAGCTACAGGACTCCACTGTAATTTCATTTATAAATTCCACTTTCCAGCACTATTCCCATTGTCTCTTAATAGTTTTACTACTCGTGTGCTTATCCAGTTCCCTTTGGAATGATTCCTACACCTCTTATACCCCCTCTGAAGAGTCTACAAATGCCTTTGGCCAGAGCGGTGATTCCTTTTCCATTTCCTTTTCACTACCAGCCTCCATCAATTTCTGTGTCACATAGCCATGGTAACCATCAGCTTGAATGACACTAAACCTTGCTGGAAATAACGGAGGAAAGCAAGCTAAGTGCTTCTGCTTCTCTTGCTGCTATTATGATAACACTGAGGTCTATTAAAGTTAATTGGAGCAATTAGCGGATCGTATGGATCCCATGTGACTCATTGAGCACAATTGCATTGCCATTTCCAGAGAGAAACAATTTCCCATTAGAGAAACACTGTAAAGATGATTCAAAATAATCTACGTTTGAACCAGATTGATATATGTAAGAGTACCGATGTATCTAAATCCAAATTAGCCGAACTCACTCTATGATTTCAGTTCAGATCTCACTTCTGGTGCTTCTAGTTAACGTATTGCATTTCTGTAATGATTAAATATTAATGTTTCAGGTATAATGACCTATCTGTATTCTGAGCAGGGACTAAAGGTTACAAATTATTAAGAAATCCAATCTCCCTGGAAGTCTAGCAATTGCTATGATGTTACCTTCAGTCTCCCACAGGTCATTGACATTGACCAGCCAATCTACTCAGGCGATAGCAATTAGTTATTTACTGAGAATGACAACAACAACAAAATTACATTTGTATAGTGCCTTTCACGTCGGGATGACTTCAGGTGCTCTAACTACTACTGTTGAGAAATAGACTATTCAGAATAAACTTTCTTATTCATAAACTTAATCTTAATCCAATTTTAAATTTAGGCATTTCCCACTCCATTGGGTTGCATTCATTCAGACCTGGCCCAAATTAACATGTTGTTCCAGTGAGGAAAAATGGCGGACCCAGTATGGTGTCTGCATTGATTAATACATTATGTCAATTGAAGAGCATTTCAGCATGTGGAAAGGAGGCTTTAATCTCTAGGGGCATCTTCTGAGTCCAGATCACATTGTACTGTCAGGCAAGCTGCCATTTATTTCATCAGTAGCCTTGGGGGACCAAGCAGATGGGGTAGGTGAACTGTGGTGCAAGCATTAAATTGTCTGGTCTAATATAAATGCTCTTTGGTATTGGCGAGTACCAAGCTAAAAGAGTTTTCTCATACCCAGATAGGAATGGAAAGAGTCCAGCAATATGATCAATCTTGTATGGGTAAACATAATGTACATTATACACAGCTTGTTTGTGGAGTCAAACATAACATACATTATACACAGCTTGTATTGGTAAACATAACGTACATTATACACAGCTTGTTTGTGGAGTCAAGGTAGTTTCATTTAAGCTTCAGAATTGATGAGCAGGGCCAAAATTATTTCATCCAGATGGCACTATTTGCAAAGAGGAGTGTTTCTCCTGAAAATGTGGATACTACTACCAAGACAAAGAATTGGGAGTGTTTAATATTTTCAATATACTGTGCTTAATACAATTCTTTGCTGCAAAAGATCATCTGATTAATGGAGAATCAATCCCCACCAACATCCTCTGAAGTTACTTTATCACTGCCTGATGCAGCAAGTTGGATGGAAACGATTTACTGCTCCCATGTGTAGAAATGGAAGACTGGAATTATAACTTCTTTGATTCCCCATGCTCAGTGCTTTATTACACAGGCAATACAGATCTTTCATAATATGTATTAATTCTAAGAAATGAAATAGCCACTAGAACACACACATTGCACTTATAACCCCATGAACGTTTATTGATGTGCAGTTAACACATTACCTTTAAAGAGAGAATGAAGTGTACATGGCTTTCACATGAAGTTAATACAATTGAAAAAAGATCCCCAAAATGTTTAACTTTTTAAATAACAAAATAAGTTGTTTTCTTTACAATTGTTCAAGAGAATGGGCCTCTGTCAGCTGAGATAGAGGGTTGAATCCAATCCAGACAGCTGAGATGGGTGTTTCCTCTTTGGCAG